AGTTTAATGAGCTCCTGGTTGGGGTGGCTGAGGCCAGGCAATGCCCACCTGATGGCTGCGTGAATTGAGGTGTGCAGATCATAGTTCCTGGTTCTGCTCTGGCCAAGGGCCCATATTATGTATTCTCCCCTACCGCTGGTCCACAACCTGGCTTCCCATTGGGTTGGGAGTTGTAGGTGGTTGAGCAGAGTGGGTGAACTGGGGGAGTACTGGTAAGGTGTGAACGGGGAGGTAACTGTCACAGTGGCTTGCTCATAGGCATCTCTCTAGGTGCTCCTTGCTCTTCTGTCTAGAAGGGCTTTGTTCTAGAAGCAGCACTGGCTGCTCAGTAACAGTGGGTAGGCAGGCTGTGGAGGTTGCCAAGAAGCAGCTGCAGGGAGACCCTAGAGGAGACAGCAGCTTCACTAGGAGAATGTGGAAATCAAAGAAGGGAAGCTCACTCTTGTGATGGGGCAGTGGTTTCCTCTAGGTGAGGAGGTGGAATAAATAGAACATGGGGGGCTGGTGAGATGGCTCAGTGGTCTAAAGCACCTACTTAGAACAAGCTTAGCAAAGCACAGGGACCGCGGTTCAATCCCCCAGCACCACATGCCATCCAGCCCCGCCCCCTTGTGGGCTGAGCTGGCCACACACACACACACACACACACACACATAAATAAATAAAATTTAAAAAAAAATAGAACATGGATGTGCACCTTTAAGCCAATTTTTGCTTTTTGAAAATTGAACTTGCCTTACATCTGCATTTGCCTTTTATTCAGCCTAGTATGGTGAATTAAGGTTTTGTTTCTTCAGTATTGGGTTCTTGAATGCAGAGCTTTTGCACTGAGGGTCTTCCCACCCAGGCTTTTCCATTTTTAGATGGGATCTCATTAAGTTGCTAAGTTGCCCAGGCAGGATTTGTAGTCCTTTTGTTGCAGAATAAATGTTCTGCAGTTTTGACTCCTCAGAATTTCCCTAACTCCTCTGTGGGACAGTTGTGTTCTCGGCTCAGCACAGCTTCCACGTGCATCCCTTTAGCACTCATGGTGTGCCAAAGTCCACTGGATATCTGGCTGCTGTGAAAGGGTGGGCAAGCTTCAGGGTTGAGAGTTTGTAAACTTGTGAGGTGGCTCAGGATCAAGGAAGCCTTCTGTGAAGAGTGATGTTGCAGTGGGATTTGAGGAGTGGCTAGGAGTTTCTTGGACTGTTAAGGGACTGGTGGCATTACCATGTGTCAAAATGAAGTTTGAAATGACTCGGGAACTTAGGAAATGTCAGTGTTGATGGAGTATCAAGATGGAGAGCGGTCAGGGCTGAGGGAAGCAGGACTTGGACATGTGTGCCTTCTCAAAACTTTGTGGTAATGTATGCAGTGTATTATTTGTTGAAACTGTACTTTCGATTTGATTTGAAACTGTCTCATTGCTATATGTTTATCAATAAAACTTTGAAAAGAAAAACAAAACAAAAAAAAAAACAACTTTGTGGTAGCATATAGAATTGCCTGTATGAGAGAATGACATGGGTCGTAGCTGAGACAGGAGTCCTGATCTATGCTTGTTAGTCCTGTAACCTTAGACAGGATGGCTGTTATTTCAGGGGGTTGCAGTGAGGATGAATAAATGATAAACATGGGGTATGTGTGTGGGCGCTTCACTCAGGTGCTGTCTTTCTTCTGGACTGTAGGTTCTTAGAGCACGGGCCTCGGCCCCAGTCTGCCTCCTGTACAGAGCACCCCACAGTTTTGGTGGCCACCTCCTCGCCTGACCTGCTCACTGCAGAGGCAGAGGTCTTGTACCCACACATTGCCCTCTGGCTTCCTATGTGCTTTCTTCTTAGTAGGAAGCCATGTAGCTTTTGCCATCTAAGGTGTCTCATCTTTGGAACAGAACATATGGGGAAAATGTTCTTTTAAAAAGCTTTTTAAGCCTTGGTGCTGGGCCTGAAGAAAATCTCCAGTTTAGAGAGCTTGACACTGAGGTCAGGATGGCTCAGGACCTCACTTGTAGTTATTGGGGAAACCGAAATGTAATACTTGAATGTTCTTTCTCTTGGCCATGTGGTGGTTGTACCTGTACAGCATTTGTCTGATGGTTTATTATGTAGAGTTTGGGGCACTGGACCAATATCTGGGAAACTTGAATAGAATTACTGGAGCATACTGGTCTCACTGCTTTTTTTTTTTTTAAATGGCCAACTCCCTTTCCCTTGCTTCCTATTGCATTGTGTTGCCCTGCAATTATGTGAGGATTTGCATCATGTTCTATTACTGCTCTGGGCAGTAGTGGTGCTGTGTGAATTCTCACTTGTGTTTTAGGTAGCAAAGGCATTTAGAGTTACCTAGGAACCTGTTGACAAGTCACTTGTGTGCCATCTCTTAGCACTTCTGTATCCTTCTGAAAAGGGGGCGCCAGAGTTTGCTTTCTTAGAAAGCTTGGAGCAGGAGCTAATTTGCTTGTGAATTAGAAAATTATCTTTAATGTTGAATTTCTCTTTGTGGGTTTATTTTGGGGACTGCATATATTTGATTCAGGGAAGTGGAAGCAGGCAATTTAGGAAGCTCCTGCTTTCCAGCAGATTTCTGCAAGTGTTGGATTGAGGTGTTTTACAGTATAGTACTGTGGCCCTCTTGTGTTTGTGTGTCCCATGACAAGCTGAGAAAAGCACCTCTGATGACATGGGGTGGCTCCCTACACTGGACAGAGCCTTTGTTTCTGATAAAGATTCTTTTTTTTTTTTTTAACGTATTTGGTTGTTGCAGGGTCTCACTATGCAGCCAGCCCCTTCTGATAAAGATTCTGCTAAAAAATTTTGATAAAAGATTCTATTGGGAGGGAAATATATATATATATATATATATATATATTTCATTTCTGAAAACACTGAAGCAGAAGGAAATATATGTGTTCATAGGAAAAACAAAGCCGCATTTTATTACAGTTTTCAACAAAGTTGTTAGCCCTTAGGGAAGTACTGGCCTTCTGTCCTTTTTAAACATTGAATTCAGGGCTCTGGTCCTTTTACCCTTGGGCTCCTAAGGAAGATAATCTGGGCCACTCTGGAAAAGGCAAGCCTGCTGTTTGCTGCGGTGCAGGAGTACTTTGTATCTAGAAATATTTTTTCTGAGTTTCTCATTTGCAATTTTCTTGTTTCTCCTTGACAGCTGTCCTTTGTTTTCCACAGGAAAGCAGTTGTTGTTTTTTAAACTATTGAGACTAAAAAAATAGACTGGTTCTTACCTGAGCTTTAAAACAGCTTGTGTACTTTTCCTTCTTGACCTCTCAATTTCAGGGTGACCTGGTAACCAATCCCTAAAACCCAATAGATCTGACTTATTTTCAAGGACATGTTTACTTTGAAATTTGGAGGTTTGGTTTGACAAATTTGCTTTTTGCATATGTACTTGTTTTTTCCTGGGTCAACTGGCATTGTAGCTGCTTAATTTCTGTCTCTTTTCCAGAGGGGCTCTTAATAGCCCTTTACATCTCCATTTCAGTTTTTTTTTTTTTTTTAAAGGAGGAAAACAAAATTGTGAGGGGGGTGGGGAGGATGGGGTTGCCTTTCGCTCCCAAAGCTTAAATGAATAGTCATTGCTTGTAATGCTGGTCTACACTTGACGCTTCCTACTGCTTTAGATGTGATGTATCTGGTGCCGTGAAGGTAATGATCCTCAACTGCGGCAATATTCCGTAACAGGAGTATCTGTCATATTCATTGGGATTACCATGTTCATTGATTTGTGTCTGTAAATCTGCTGTTTCTACCCTTTAAATTTGATCTATAATTGGACCTCCTTAAATGGTTCAGATAAGGTAGTCTGTATTTCCTCAATGCAGTGTTGCTGTCAGCTTCCCCTTTTTCATTATACATTCAGCAGACTTGATAAAATCAGCAGGACACCTCATTTGAAACTGTTTAATCGCTGCCTTTTTCCTTTGCTAAACCATTGAGGTGGTCAAGCGATGTACACAAATCATTTTAAATAGAAAATATGGTTTTCTCTCTGACCTAGCTAAATAGATAGTGTTATGCAAAACAAGTTAAAAAGTAATAAATGCCAAAAAAATCTTCTAATTGGAGTAAAAAATTGTGGGCAACTCTTTCCTCTCTCCAAAAGTAGAGTATCCTGAAATATTGCCAGGATCCTGTACAGACAAAATGATGATTTTCTAAAGATTCTCTGGTTTCTGAACAAAGCAAGTTTAAAATTTCAAATAGTGCTGAGCTGCCTTTTGCATCCTTTCAAAGGGAGCCCATACTTAAATGCCTTTATGTCTACTTTTGGTATGGATAAATTTGCTATTTGTTAATACCTATGCAGCATAACCTTTCAGCCATTTGCTATTGTGATAATAAATTTTTGTTTCTTTGTCTGTCATTTTGTCTACTCAGCTGTTACTCTTCAAAGTACAAACTAAAAATAATAGCTCCAAATAAATGCCACATAATAAAGTGTTTTACAGTTGTAGCTGGAATAACCCGGTGGCTGCAGCTTGCAGTCCTATTACCATTGCTGGTGCAGTAGTTTCTTCCCCTGCATGTCAAGGTGACTACCAGGGCCAGCTCATTAAAACAATATATTCTTTCTAGCGGGGTTGATATTTAGCACTTGCCCAGCAGCCTGCCAAGGCACAATGTGGAGCCTAGGACTCACCGCATAGGATATCTGAAATTAGGTGGTATTCACTTTTTGAAAAATTCTCTGTAGCTTCATTTTTGTACTTCCACATTTTATTGTGAATAATTTGCAATTAAACCTGTCAGTGGTAGAAGCAGGAGTGGTTCTAGATTTACTCAAGCTAGTGGCAAGTGTGACTTTAGGCTTTGGAGTACTCCTTTTCACTTGGTTGATATAGCCCTATAGAGTTAATGTTTACATTGTACTTGAATGTGACATAGGGCATGTTTTGTTGTTTTTCCTACCCTGAGGTGAACCTGAGCTGGAAAAGCTCAGAGTTGGTAAAATACACTAAAAGCGCATTTTTATTTATTTATTTATTTATTTATTTTTTACAGGTTCTGGCTCCTTAGCAGCAATGGCCGTGTTTGAAGATAAATTTAGGCCAGATATGGAGGTATGTAAGTTCCTGCAGTTTTATCCTTTCAGATATTTTTGCAGGTGTGTATTGAACATTTACAAACTGTCGATTCCTCCAGAGCTTGTACAACAGTCATTATTTGGAATGGTCTGTAGCATAGACAGTATGTTGGAGAGAATGGCTACTTGGAAAGTGTCCTTTTCTAGTAGCCCTGTTGTGTGCCCCTTCAGACTCGAGGAGCGGACAGTGTTCTGCTTTTTTGCTCTGGCCGTTGAGCTGTTTAGGACTCTTAGCTATAAATGCTTCTGCAGTGCAGAATGTTTTTTGTATGCTAAGATTTCTTGTAACAATACCTCAAAATGACAGATTTTTCTGTTTTCTCACCAAGAATAGAGCAACTGTGTGTGACTTTGCCACACAGACCTGGCCTGAAAATGGGGACAATTTAAAAAAGGCGGGGGGAGATAGCTCAGTGGAATAAGCTCTTCCCTGGCAAGTGCAAGGGCCTGAGTTCAATTCCCAGTTCTGCCAAAACAAACAAACAAACAAAATCCCTGTAGATTGTTTAGCTTTTTTTTTTTTCTTTCTTTTGAAACAGGGCCTTGTCTGTCCTTGAACTCACTTTGTAGCCCAGGATAGTCTTGAGCTTCCAGTGATCTTTCTGCCGCAGCCTCCCCAGTGCTGAGCTTACAGGCTTGCTCCACCATGCCTGGCTTGGTTAGCATCTTGTAGAATTTGGGGACAAGGTCATGTGTGCCTGCCATTTTCTCAAGGTGATGGACTAGTGTCCCAAATATATTTATGAGATTCTTTTACTGTATTTTATTTGATGGTTGGGAAAGGTGGTATTTTGTGAATAACATTCTAAGTCTGTTTTAATGATGGCTATTCTCTCCTTCCTCCAATTGAGCAACCTTCTGCTGCCGGAGAAACAGCCTCCATTAACAGACCCACAGACCTTTCATTGCTACTTTTTGAGGAGTGCTCAATATGCTTCAGTGCTCACATTATTCTTTACTGTACTTTCTCTGTACGACCAAACCAGTACACATGATCACTTAAATCATAGAGGCAGCCTTCATCATGTGCTTTTGGTGTTTTGATGGCTATTTTTTTGACAAAGTATAATTTCTTTTTAATTATTAGTATGCTGAGTATAAATGGTTTACTTTATTCTTAATATGTAGGTTTCTATCATTTCTAATTTTGCAGTATTTTGTTTAGGAACCAGAAGATCTTGCTAGTTATTACTTTAGACATTGCTGTGCTTTATGTCTCATCTTCTCTGGGGAAGATCACATATTAAAGGCATTTTGTTCTTTTACCACCTCCTTGTCAGTGGAGCACTATCGTAGGAGCTTGGAAGCTAACTCTACCCTTGAGGTTGGGCCAAGAGTTCTGAAGGCTGGAGAACATGGGCTGTGGATGCTAGCACAGGGGTGTTGAGCTAGTAACCCTGTGCCCTTCATTAGAGCAGCACAGGTAGGGACTTGATCAGCAGATGAACATTCTTCTCTCCCTTAGACATCTGTGAATTAAAATGTGTAGAATTTAGGTAGATATTTTCTAAAAGTGATAGCCTTGCTTTAATTAAGAATAGTAAACAGGGCCAAAAATAAAACTACAAATGAAATAAGATTCTGTTTGCCTTTCTCAGTGGGAAAATTTATTCCCGTATCAGCATTATTTAGGGTTCTTAAATCCATAGAGAAAAATAATATATACTAGGTCACTTACAGAGAAAAACAAAAGAAAAAACTTCCTTAGTTTTCTAACCAGAGGATTTTTAATGTCAAGCCCATTTTTAAGCCACATTAATCTTTTCAAATTCTCTTGGAAGCTTTGTCTATTTCCAATTGATTGAGGCCTCCATATGTTAAAGAAAAATGAGAAGTGCAGAAAAAGTTGAATGTATGAGGCATATTAATAGTGATTTAACACGTAATTTTACATTAGTTAAGACTTTGGGTTTAGAATGATTCAAAGGCTATGAATTCAGTATTGATGTGATATGGAAGAGGAAAGAAAAATGTCCACATCAGTAAAACTTCTATCAGTCTGTGGAAAGTGTTTCTTAGATTAATTAATTTCACTTAATATTCTGTATTACCTATGAGACTCTGAAATAGGTTGAATCAATACCCATTTCAGATTGATTATGTGTAAATTTACCATTTCAGGTTTTTGTTAAGCTTTGAAACTTGATACATTATCAGTGAAAATCAGTATTAAAAAGTAGTATCTGCTCTAGTGGTTCCGAGTTTTAAAGTAAACAAGCATCAAATAATGCAGCCAGACTGATAGAAGTATCTATCACACTGTCAGTCGACAGTATTTGAAGAATCTAAATTCGTGGTAAGAAGTACCACAAATTTAAAAGGTTTAGGAAGAACAAGCAACCAGCTGGCCCTGCTGTTTGCTTTTGGTGACGGCAGTGACACTGCAGTGGAAGGCTGAGATTGCCTAGCAAAGTTGGGAGACAGTGTCAGTGCCTTCTTTGTTGTGAAAGAGATGTAGGCTATGGTGTCTTTTCTAGCTGCGTATTTGCATAGAATTCATGGAAACATAGATATCTTGGTCTCAATTGTTTTCTTTTTTCTTTCGGGTGGGGGGAGTAATTTTCTTTTCTGTGGCAAGAAACTGCCATCATTTTTTCACCCGTTGACTAAATAGAGCCTGCAGGGTGAGATGATTAAAATCACTGTTTTCCCCCTTCAGTTTGGGAAAGGACTGGGAACGTCTGAGACAGAAACCCAGAACAGCCTTTCACATCCCCTGTGGTGTGCTGGGACAGTGGCTTGTCCACAGTTAATTTCCAGGGGCCACTTTCAGGTTATCATGATTATAAGTTGTTTGCCAAATAGTTTTTAGAGTCAAACTGATGAAACAGACTCTAGGTTTATTGTTAAAACGAATACATTAGATGATGCCAGTCTTTTTTTTTTTCTCCCTAAATCTGCATGTGTGCTGTGGATATTGTTGGGCTTGGACTAGAAGGTTAATGTATCAAAAGTAACTGTGGTGTTTATGGAGTGAAGGTCCCTCTCTGCTTAAAAATAGTGTTTCCTCATTATCTATAACTCTCCTGTTTAGTGTGGTAGCCACTACCCACGTGGGGCTATCGAATGCTTGAAATGTGGCTAGTCCCACAAAAAAAGGTGGTGGGTAGAAAATGTATGCCAGATTTCAAAGAATTAATTGAAAAAATTTTAATATGTTAGTAGTTTTATATTGGGCTTAGGGTATAGCCCAATAATGGACTGCTACACAGCATGCGTGAGGTCCTGGATTTGATCTCAGCACTTTAAAATGAATGAATGAATGAATATATATTGATCACATTGAAATGGTAATTTGGCTACTGGAAAATGTATTGGGTAGTGCTAGTCTAGGATTGGTTCTTAAACTTATCATTTGCATAGTTCATTTTTCTCTGCCATATCCATGTGCCCCCTGTACTGTTACTTTTCTTGAAAACATTCTTTAACTTTTTAGTAAATTGAGGTATAATTTGTGTCATACAATGCATGGATTGTAAGTGTACTCTTCATGGGTTTTAGCATTTGTAATCACAGATTAACTGTCATTCAAATCAAGATAGCATTTTCTTTACCTCCAGTTGCCTTTTCCCAGTCCTTTCCTGCTCTTTCCCTCAGCCACTTCACATCTTAATTTAAGTATCTTTTTAGAGTACAGTTTGCTTCTGTGAAATCCTGGGTATGATGGTGGTGGCTGTAGTTTTCTCCAAGACACAATGGGTGTGTACTATTAATAGAACTAAGAATGTGTTCAGGTATCTCCCATCATGTGTAAGCCCAGGGGGGATGAATATTAAACCTTGGGGAATATTAGGTCCACTTCAGTCATTCCTGTCTGTTCACTGTCCTTGAAAAAAGTGTATACCTGCTTGCTGTCAACTCCTCCTCTTCACTGATGTCTGGCAGCAGAGCCTTTGGTGGTTTCCTCATTCATTTGTGCTCCTGTGCCCCACCAGACATACCTGTCCCATTGTTTGATGGCTCTTTTCACAGATGTCTCCTCTACGTGCCAGTGTGTGATGGAGTGCCTTCAGGTCAGTGGCCGTGAAACAGTCTGTACTTTCTGTTTTCATGTTTCAGTATGTGCTTGTTGATTGAGTCAGGATAAGCCTGAGCTAAAGCAAAGTCTGAGTCATGGAAAACTACCTGGGAAAGAGGAGACTTTCTCCCTTTCCCATGTGGAAAGTAATGAACCTGTTTTTGAGATAACAGGAGGATAGCTAGGACACTTTTCCAACAATGTATAGCATTGAGGCTGAGTCAGAAAGCAGGTGTCCCAGGAAGTACACAGGGGAAGGAAGTTGGGACAGAGTAAATGCTCTTTGAGAAGAAGGGTAGAAAAGCAGCCCAGTGTGGCCTAGCTGGGATTCTTAAGATGGGCCTAAGATGGACCTCTGCTGCTTGGACTGAGGCAGTGAATTGCCTTAAGTGAAAGCAGTAGGTTCAGCTTCCAGCACATTGTTGGCTAACTAGTGAACTTAAGGCACTTGAGAAATTCTGATAACCTTATAATTTTCTGTTTTCTTCACTTGCTGTTAGTTTGTCCTAGAAGTTTGAGGGCAGGAACTATGCTTTTCCATTGTTAGCTTACACCTAGCATGGAAATTGGTACATGGAAAGGATTCAGCTAATACTTGTTGATGGATGGATAACGTTTTGTAGTTCTCAAATCAGCCGTCCTTGAAACAGTTTAGTGTCTTCACTTTAGACCACTGTGATAGCAATGGAAGCGTAAAACCTTGTATTTCTTACTGGTGGTAGGTTTCATGCTGTATTTTTATCAAGATACATCTTTATCCAGATATTTATACCAGTGGATTTTGATTGTATATAACTGGATTTTGATTGTATGGGTTGATGTGAAGACAAAAGGTTAGTTTATTTGAGGGTTTTTGTGTGTATGATGAAGAATTGCATAAAGTCACTGCAATTGAGTTTTCTCCTTCCATTATTAAGGCTGATAAAAGAATTAAACTGATAATGATTGTTACCTATAAG